CCAACACAAGGCAGATTTGTGGTGCAGTAAGGTGTTCTTGAGAAATTACATTACTATTGTATACAGAAATGTACACGGTACATTTTTCCCTTTCACTATTAAAAATGACAGAGAGCCTTTGCTGCAACTGAGATACTCATATGGTTCATGTAGAGGTACTGACATCCTTTTGCATGATCTTTCTACAGAATCAGTTTGACCTGTCTGCATCTATAACTCCAGTCTATGAACAGACAGGCTACACTAGGGCCTCTGGAAACACTGAATTCAAATATTCTGCAGTGTTCTGAAATTCCACATCCTCAGCAAGTGTTAATTATGACTGTTGCTATTACATATTTATAGATAGCAGTTCTCAAATCTCAAAATAGATAACAGCCAAGTGCTGTAAGTGGAACTTGGCATAGTCTTCAAGAGCACTTTGCCTTTAGTAATTTTCTTAGTTAATCCGTTAATCACCTGAGTTGCTTACAATACACCAGTAAGGTAAGTCACAGCAGAAGCTGAAGAGAAAACTACAAAGTAATTCTGAAGAAAAAAATGTGTTTGAGAAAAGAAATGAGAATATTTTATCACTTCAGACAAGCCTCCTACTTCCTCCTTCATATAGACTGAAGGATTTTTTTCCTCCCACAATGCAGAATCCGGCTTCCTTTTAAAGTACTGGACAGCAGCAGCAACTATGCAGCATAGAAGAAGGCCACATGTCCAATAATTAACAAATAATGCTGCTTAAGTAAAAGCTCCTAATCACTTACAATATTTAATAAAACTCAGATTACACTGAAATTTGTTTCTCAAGCAAAAGTTGGTTACTGGTAAAAAATACGCATGTTTCTTCAATTAATGTGAATCAAATACGACTTTCTCTTGTAGCTCTATTTCAATTATAGTTCTTGAAGCATTTTGCTGGAAGACAGCTTAGGCTATTCTTAAAAAAGACTACTTCGGTTTTCAGATGGTTCAACACATGATTCAGTGTGGAAAAAGTAAAGTATATGCAGTGAAGATTTAATCAATTTCCTCTCCAGGGTATATTTTGCATACAGTCATTTTTCTGTTCCTATCAGAAGATCTCATCACACTAATGCACCTAAGTATGCCTTTATGTTACTGCTGCAAAGACTGAGCTCACAAGAGCAAAAACAAAATAGAATTTAGTCGAAACATTAAAAGAGACACTGGATTTATGTCCATCATTTCAAAAAAGCCCATTTTTGCCAAAGTGTAACATAAGCATCTGAAACACTACCTAGATTCCAATGAATACGGAGCTAATCATACGAATAGTTACACAAATAGTTATACAAATGTATATTTGCTTATGCATGTTTTAAATAACATGAATAACACAAAGAATCTGCATTATCAAGTTAACATTTCACATTCTCAAAGCCACAGCTCTTAAAACAAATATGGCCTCGAGTAAGCTCTGTGACCCTTTAAGAACCAGTATCCTTTTAATAAGGCACATGACCTGAAGACCTTCAAGATCCTGAAGATGCTGGCATTCAAATACATCAGGAGAGAAGGGAGGAAAAAATAAAAATGAAAAAAAAAAAGAACACTCACTTTAATCTACTAAGCGTTTTGCTTTGTCTGCCATTATTTAGGCAGAAAACATCCTCCCTGTCCTTAAAACTATACATTAGACTGAATTTCAGTGGAATTGAAGAAAGCTGTATGCCCCCTCATTCACATACCCCATATAGCAATATGTATTTCGCTATATAGGAAACTAACACAACCGGGTTCTTCAGAGGTCACAGACACAGTCATTTCCTGATGCCTGTTGCTACTCTTCACAATCTCCATCCAACTTCTACCACCAGCACCAGGTTGAGCCGCTCTCTCCAGAACGCTGCTGCAGACAAACACAACTATAAAAAATGCAATTCCAAACCCCAGTGCATTAACTCACTGCAGTTTATAGAAAGCTTACTTATCTCTTAACATAGGATTTATCTTGCTTAACCTTAGCTAAAATTAGAGACCTAATTTTATGACTAATAATCATCTAGGCTCCCCCTACAGTTCAGTGAGGAACAGATCCACAGATTTATCCCATCTACCACCAAGCATATCCTACATTTAGATGATCTGCATTCAAGTGCTGTCCCAGGGTGCACAGTCTTATTTGTCTAGACATTCAGCTTCTACATAAACCTCAAGTATTTATATCTTCTGTGAACCAGTTACCTGTGACTACCTTCCAAAGAGAAGAACTTTGTCTTATCAGAACTTTTTCCTGGGAAGAGAAAGATCTATAAAACAGCAGTGATGCTTCACATACTGACCATAAGGACTCAACAACTTTCAGAGTGCTAATGCACAACTTTGAGTTCATTACTGCTAATCACTTACACCAATCACTGCATATAGAACTTTCCTTTTTAATGTTTTCTATGTGATTCACATACAGTGAAGTTAGTTACTAATATTTTAATTAACCCAAGGAAGGGCTTCTTTTCCCTCTAATGGTGTGCAGCTTCACAAACCATTCATTTGAGGGCTATTTATCTGTAATATGATAAATTTAAATATAGCTTTGTAACTGCCTGACTCTAATATACACAACATTATTCCTATTTCCAGTTGTGCTTATTATCCTGTGGCAACCTGCTATAGGACTACTATGCAGATACATCAAAGACCCTTCAGAGACCAACATAAGCCCTAACAGTGCAGTTTCATCATTCCCAATATTAAGTATCTTGTAAATATAACCTAAGCATTTGTGTCCTGCAGTTTTTAAAGCCGATGTCTTATCCTTTTACTACTCTGACACCGACTTCCTGTTTGAAGTGTCCAGGGTGGGGCTGCTTCCAAGTTCAATAACCCAAACAGCCTCTGCAATATCTGAGGAGCTTAAAGAAAGAAGAAACAACAACAACAAACAATTGCTAAGTTGGCTCTGTTATGCAGCCCATCTTCCACTAACTCCTTCTCAAGGAAGGGCGGCTTTTCACTAGCCAGAACGGGCCTGATGCCAAAACCTCCGCTCCTTCCCCGCACCACGGCATGTTCTGCCTTCCACCCCTGTTCTTCACAGGTTTCATTTTGGGGCAGAACTGGGACAAGTGGGAGCACGCTGCAGCTGCCGAGAGGAAGGCAGCCAGCTTCTGGCAGGAGCTACAGCCCGCAGAGGGCTGTTTCTTCATAAAACCATTGAAAAAACAACTGCCTGCTCTGTCGGCACCCTCCGTGCTCGCTTCGCTCCCCTGCCTGCAGGCTCACCCCATTGCAGGGTTTTCTTCAGCGCATCTAGGATTATGCACCTTATGGCTGTTAGCATGCATGTGCACCCGCAGAAAAATCCACAATGCTACCGGCAAGCAGCCTAATTACAACTTTAAACAGAAGACCGATTGGAAGTTTTAAAAGGATGTTTTAGCAGTGGCTTTGTGCTGCCATGGCAACAAGATTCCGAGGGCATATCCAGGGATAAAAATCTCTCTGAAATACTGCTTACAACTAGGATACAGAAGGAAAAAATAATTCCAAGCAAACAAGCCATCCTATGAGATGTTTATGCTTTTCTACATTTAGCTCAATCACAGGTATTTCCACAACATACTGACATTTATCAAGTTACAATGAAAATAGCTTAAACTTATTTTTAAGACTGCTGTAAGAAAAATAACACATTATTACTATATAGTTGCCTAGCAGTATCATAATGGACGGCTCCACTAATTTGGCACCACTTCTCAGGGTGGGGGAAGGCGGTTACAGGGTGTGCTTTCTTTTTCTTTAAGTACATATAAAGAAACATCAACCCCTTCAGTTTCTTCAGAATAAATGTTTCTGACTCGAGATGATCGAAATATGGGAAGCTTCAGCGCATTATTCTAACGGAGGGGATTTTTTGCTTGCTTGTTTTCCAAAGAACATGGACTGGAAAAACAGATAAAGCC